TTCTTCAACTGGCGGCGTGTGGTCGAGTCCTTCAAGACGGCGTTCAGACAGCGTGAGGGCAACACTCGCATGGTTATCATGGCCATGCTTCTGAGTAATATGCTCCGCCGCATAGCCAGAGGTCAGTGTTTTATTGGCAGATTTCTGTTACTCGTATTTATGCGCGAGATGGATAACTCCATTATTTTAATCACATTTTGTTTGTAAAGGACTAGGTCAATTCCATATGGTATGTTACAGGTTTTTTCATGTACATGTTCGTGCGCCGTGTTTTGAGCTGGAAGGCCACCGACTACGGTTACTGGGTCACCTACCGGAACCTGCTTGCGGCCATCGGTAAGCTGCTGTGTGTTATCTATAAAATATCCAGATACATCGTAGTATACATACTGGAGATTATTAACTTATTTAGTTGATTTTAAAGAATGCATCAGTTACTGGTATTCATGAAGTATTATACACGCTCTTCTATTTTCCATTCGCTGTGTTCTTAGGTTCGTTGTTTCTGGTGCCGATTCTTACCAAGATGCTTTCAGCCACCGACGCCTCGCTGGCTGCGGTGGGCGCACTGTCTACTCTTGGTGAATATACTTGCTACAGTCTCGTCAGCGGCGTGGCTCAGACGTTCCTCATGTGGCTCGGGCCTCCGATCGGAATCATTTCCAACGCACTTGTAATTGCCATCAGATCCATGTCTACTAAACTTGTTAGCAAAGAGGAAAAAGGTTAGGTTAGGTTTGTATATCATGATACTGTACTTGCAGATGCTATAAAAGAGTTTTGCAGCATGTGATCACTCTAATAACGGCTTACATCAATACTTGTTAAATAATTTTGTATGACGGTAAATGTTATGCAACCAGGTCGCATCAGCGCCGTCATGGCCGCCACGAACGGCCTGATGCCCATGGTCGCCTACGCCGCCTATTCCCCCATTTACTACACGACAGTCGACACCTTGCCAGCCGCCCAGTTCTTCTTCGGGGCCTCCCTCAACGTGCTTATTATAATCATATTTATGTGAGTACTGGTATGAAACTGTCCAGAAAGTTCATTAGTTTATGCCAGGAAACCTCAAGGTAATGTTATCCTTTATGCACAGTAGTGAACTGATTGTAATCTTTTGCTGACGCAATGGGTCTCTATGAAAATCCTCGTTCACTACCATTTTCATGTGAGTTTCATTACGTCCCAAAGCCTTTACTGCCCGTGTCGTAATCAAGCCAAAAGCACGCTCCTGTTCTATTTTATGTCCGTAAACATAATTAATGTGCTTAGCTAATGTTGTTCCTCTCTGCCACAGAATCGTTCAACTAAGGAACACACCGTCGGGAAAAAGTATAGAAGTCGGCCAGAAGCAGCGACCGGAGTCTTTTCAAGGTATTCAAGAACAGGTCTGCAATCACTCTGAAATCTATGGAAATAACACTGACTCAATCAAAACGTCAATTCGAGACGTCTTTAAGCAAGGATAATCAAAATCGAACTGATAAGCTTCATGGAGTCGAGGAGCTTCCTTCCAACGTTAAGATCACATCCAGACTCCCTGTGGAGCGAACATATATTCCGGTGGCCGCTGGCGATGGTGGGGAGAGAAGGAAAGATGATGCAGACAAGAATATAAGAGTATTTTCTCAGTTCACGAGGCTGACGGCAGATCGGTGACGAAATCCGTCGCCAGTAAGAGTATTCCACCGGAGGCGAGTAGGGATGGAAACCATGAAAAGGAGTCATGCAGCGAGAGTGCGTGCGAGGAAAGGCCACCCTGTTTCAGAACGAACGAAGGATTGGCGCGCAGGTTGTTATAACAACGAAATGAGTGATGCAGAAATTACCGCCTCGGAGTCATTAGCGAATCCGGGGACAAAGGGAAAAAAAAATGATGCTTTAAAACATAACCTAAGCAGTTCATTAGGACAAACACAGAGAAGGCACGACTGAAAGGGAATCATTAGTAATTCCGGTATGATATACTCATCTCAAGTTCCAAAATACATCTTTCCCAGAATTACATCATTGTTAAAATGTAATAACGAAATGTTCGTTACATAGTTGAAGTAGTGGTCAGTAATGATCAACTCGTCTTCTAGAAATGTAGAGTACGTACATAGTCTAGTCTTAATACTGATACTTTAATGACCCTGTATCAGTCTTGAATTATTCTCCTATTATATTTACCATCTTTTTACCATTTCATGCACTGTAAATCTCATTAAAATACTTATCTAACTTCATGAATTCCATTAATGAATCTAAAATAACGTCTACGTATGACGAGTTGATTTATGCAATTATTTTATTTTACTTATTCATAAACAATATTTACTAAATACTTCCCCAAGTATTTCAGTTATAACATGAAATACAGGTGTCAGAAAAGGATATTGGCAAAATAATGGAGGAAACATACACAAATGGATGATCTACAACTTTATTTATCTATTTGTGTGTGTGAATATATATGAATATGGATATAAGTTTATATATATACATACATACA